AAGCCCAGGAGTTGGAGGTTGCTGTGAGCTGTGTGACGCCACGGCACTCTACCAAGGGCGATAAAGTAAGATTGTCTCTACAAAAAAAAGAAAGGAAAAACTGTATTAAAATTGTAATACTTGACACATAACCAATAATGTTTGTTATCTTGTATATCATATCTTTTTTTGTGTGTGTATATCATATTTTATATCTATTGTAATTCCAGAAGTCAAATGTGATTTGAGTATTACCATTTTAATCAGTTTTTCTCTTTCTTAAATATATATACCTTTTTATGGCACCCTCATGAGATACAACACAATGTTTTGATATATGTATACATTATGAAAAGGCTAAATCAGGCTAATTAATGTATGTATTACCTCACATACTTATCAGTTTTTTGTGGTGAGAACACTGAAATCTATTCTCTTAGTAATTTTCAAGTATACAACACATTATTAACTATAATCACTTGTTATGAAATAGGTCTCTTGAACTTATTCCTCCTGTCAAAGTGAAGTTTTATATTCTTTTTACCTACACCTCCCCAAGCCCCCCAAGCCTACCCTCTGGTAATGACCATTCTACTCTTTGCTTCTTGTGAGTTCAACTGTTACAGATTCCACAAATAAGTGAGGTCATGTGGCATTTATTTTTCTGTTCCTGGCTTATTTCACTTAATATAATGTTCTCTAGGTTTATCCATGTTGTTGCAAATTACAGTATTTCCTTCTAAGGATGAAGAGTCCATATTTTCTTTATCCATTCATTTGCAGTGAATGGTTATTTCCATGTCTTGGCTATTGTGAGTAATGCTGCAGTAAACATGGGAGTGTGGATATCTCTTTGGCACACTGATTTCAGTTCTTTTGGATATACACCTGGAAGTGGGGTTGCTGAATCATGTGGTAGTTTTATTTTTAATTTCTTTTTTTAATTGTTTATTTTTATTTTTTTAATTTTTTTTATTGAATGGTTATTTTTAATTTCTTGAGGAACTGCCATACTATTTTCTATAATGATTGTACCAATTTACATTCCTACCAACAGTGTACAAGTGTTCCTTTTCCTCCATATCATCACCAGTACTTTTTATTTCTTCTCTTTTTGGTAATAACCAAAACATGTGCAAAGTGATATCTTATTATGGTTCTAATTTGCATTTCTCTGATGGTTAGTGATTTTAAGCATATTTTTCATATACCTATTGGCCATTTGAAAGTCTTCTTTGGAAAAATGTCTATTCAGGTACTTTGCCTGGATGTACTAAATGTTCAAATCAGGTTATTTGTTTTTGCCTTATTGAGTATTTGAGTACCTTATAGATTTTAGACATTAACTCTTTATCAGATGTATGGTTTGCAGATATTTTCTGCCATTCTGTAGGTTGTCTCTTTACTTGTTTCCTTTGCTGTTTGGAAGCTTTTTGGTTTGCTGTAATCTGATTTATGTATTTTTGCTTTTGTTTCCTATACTTTTGGGGTCATATGCAAAGAAGTCATTGCCTAGACCAATGTCATGGAGCTTTTCCCCCATGTTTTCTTCTTGTAGTTTTATAGTTTCAAGTCTTATATTTAAGTCTTTAATACATTTTGAGTTGATTTTTATATATGATGTAAAAGTAGGGTCTAATTTTATTCCTCTGTAGGTATATATCCAGTTCTCCCAATAGCCCACTAATCCTCATATGACACACCTGTGATGGGGGGGGGTTGGCACACCTTTTTACTGCTCCCTACTAGCACTGTGGAGTGGGGAACACATTTGCTACTGATTGGCAGTGGTGAAACTTCTGCTTTCCTTGAGGTGTCTTCTGATGCCACCCCAGTGAGGGGTGCCAGATTACCACCAGGTGGGGGTGAAAGTCCAGTGATACTGTAGGGTACATCTTGTTACTCTGAGGTAGGACTGAAACTTCTGGCTCCCTATTCAGCCTTCTACGATACCCATTTTGGAGCAGCACCTTGTTTCAGCTTGGTTAGGATGGACGTCTAGGTCTCCTGATAATCTTTTATTAGTATGGTTGGTGGTGGGCCACAAGTCTTCTTCCTGTGTTGCTTGGCTACAGTAGAACTATTGGGTAAAAGTTTACTTCTTGCTAGACTGCCTCTTTCCTAGTTCTCTGACTGAGAAAGGTTTTTTTTTTTCTCCATGCCTATTGGTATTTTAGGGTTGCCACCTTTTCTAGTGCATGGGGTAAAATATATGTCAAAAAGAAAACCCAGGGAACTCACAGCTATGTTGTTCTTGGCTGGCCTGTCTTCTCCTTTCCACCTTTTGGAGTCTTCTTATTTTTGTTTTATAAATAACGTCTAGAGTTTTCAGCTGTACCTAGCAGGATGATAGCATTAAGTGTTTCTTCTCCATCTTGTCCTTACAGTTAATTTTTAATAGTTGATATTCAGAGTGGTGAATTTTTGGTTTCCTGAGTGCTATGGATGTCAAGATCTGTACATTTATGGCCTATGCTCCTGAGAAGCAAAAGCAGAAGAAAGTCCCCTGTGCCCCAAAACTTTCATGTTCTCCACAGTCTCCTGTGCCTCTAAACTACATCCCTTTGGTCATGGGTTCAGCTTTGTAATTCATCATTTATTTAGCAAATAATGTGCATCTACTCTTTGTAGCTCTTTTTATAAGCCCTTGGGCTCAGCAGGGAAAGGATTTAGGCTTTATTTGCTCTTCATCTTTCAGAAAAGTCAGAGAGAGCAAAAGAGCACCAGTGAGGTTAGGTTGGAATGCTCTAGGGAGGTGAGGGCAGTGTTTCACCTGATCCCTGTTGAGTTTCCAGCACTGAGTTTCCTTGCAGTTTCCTCTGACCAG